GTGTACGAGTATACGAGTACAGTACAAGGGTTTCACTTTTTCAATGGTATGTTTCCCGGTCGATAGTATCCGAAAGGTTTTTCTGCCAAGAGCATGCTATCCAAAAGGTTTACCCACTACTAAATAATAAATCAAAACTACTCATAGTTTTGGTTTTCACATAAAGTCATACAGGAACTCCCCCGAACCAAATTTTCACCTACCAGTGTATGTAAAATAATTCCTTGGATTTTACTTTCTGACCTTTTGGAGCTCTCTATCTGGACTAGTTAAGGAATTGTAGGGAGAGTAATAGTTAGTACATTGATCTTAGCTCATTTTCTGATTTTGTACAGTAGTGTATGCGCAATAAACTGGCTTGGACCTTTTTTACACTTCGACCTCACAATATTGCTGCCAAAGTAGTCACCATTCTTTAATGATCCGTAGGTTTTGGGGGAGGAAATTTCAGACTATATCACCAATTTTTTAATTTTTTTTTTTTTCCAGATTCAGAGTGCACAGAGCGGAATGCCTGAAGCAGCATGGTTTGAGCTGTTGCTTGCCATACTGCTCGTCTTTCCCGTCACCAGCCCCGTACTTGGACGCCCATGGCGGCAACTAAGTTACTCTACTCGATGACAGAACGGGCTACTTTTTCAACTCGGGACCGAGAGCACAAGTGGAGGCCTTCCAACAGGAATTTGGAAAAATCTAGAGTTTAGAACAGAAATCTAGATCACAGACCATATCGGCAGAAAACATGATTTTCTAGACTGATAGATTAAAATCATTACGGTGAAGCGAAATTACACATACCGATACGAAAATTAATGGTTACAGCTAACTCAGGGGGCCATCTCTCACAGAATCGCACCCCACAGCAGCTTGTTAATCCTCCATCTCGCGTATTGAGAAACAACGACTAGGTTGTGGAGAATTGCGTCCTTGCGAATTGTTGAACAAGGGTATCCTGGCCCCTGGATTTCTGAACTTTTCAAATTCACCCCCATACACCGAGCCAACTCACGGCTCATATAATTGCCAGGTGGGTCCTCTTCGCTGCCAATTCCACAGCATACGGATGTACAACAAAAAACGTACCCTCTCCCTCACCGATGGACGATCCGTACCCAAATAGCCTCCGAACTGCAGAATCATCACGATCGTCTTCACAATAATCACCGTAGTGGTGGGCCTGCTCTAGTAATTCCCTAATTGCAGGTTCTGGGACTCTAGGCCCGTTGTAAGTTGACTTGATACATTCCCGCCTATGGCTGTTCCTGTGAGCATGGCTTCTAAATGCTGATTGACATACTGGCTGCACATGACACCTCAAGAGCTTTGGTAAGGATTCGCTCCCGACAACAATCCGGCCCAAATAACATTAGCCCGGTTCTTGCTGTTAATCGTGTCTGTCCGCTACACTTTCGCAACATAGAGCGTGAGGATGACTCAAAGGAAGGTTCGGGTTCGCGGGGGGGCAAAGAAGGGATTTGGGTGGAATGATCTCCGCAAGATAGAAGTGTTTTTGTATGAGTACCTCCGTTTGTGGCCATAGGTAGCTGATCCGGCGCAAGACACGACTTGGGAGCCTTATTTTATCCCCATTTTTATTTTCCGTCCGTCACAGTTTCACATTAGACATATTTAACCGTTTAGTTACATCATTTGATACCGTGGAAATCATAATTTGAAGTATTTTTCCTGTCCGCCTGGGAACATTTCCAACTCCGTTATAGATGCCATTTTTAAGCTTTTGATAGACGTATTATGACCTTTAAGGAGCTTTCATAGCTCCTCGAGCCTTTCAACTCTCTAGTTTACTCCTTTCACTGTACGATTCCTAAAACCCGGGCATATCACCTGCCGGACCCCACCTGCCACCTCGGGATTGTGGGATGCGCTGAAGATACAATCGCGAGCGTTTAAATTCCCACCAAGTATATTGACTAATAGTGGTGCAAGAAGTTGTGCCACACTCAGGCCTCAGATCTGGGGGGAATAAAGCTACGAGTGATTGCCTGTGAATCTGCCCACCATCGTAGTTCACAGTTTATTGATGTCCCCCGCCCAGATGGGTGTAGAATACCGGTACTTGGAAACTGGGGATCCTCGCGTTTTACAGGCCCAACCCATTCCAGGATAGGAATCAATCGATGCAGAGGTGTCCTGGCACCCACCTCGATCGTGAGCCGACAAATGGGGGGACACTTTTCGCTTCACAATACCGGAAGTAGAGACGCAAAAAGTGTCGAATAAATACATACCGGTAAAAAAGAAAAGAAAAAATGCAGCAAATACAAATAGGTAGGGGAGTTACCGAACAGTTAATTTGAGTTGACCCGTAAAATAATCCCTGTCTTGTAGCTAGTTGTTTGCTATTAACTTATGAAATTAACCTGTCTTGTGCGAAAATAACCCCCCAGTGCCTTTGTACTTGGAACTCCAGGTGTTTCCCTTATTTTCACAATTTTTCCGTGTCTTTAACTCGGTTACCGGAATTGAGGCAGATGCAGAGGTCATTTTATGGGCTAACATAATTTTGATATTATTGTTTCTGACCAGGAACCTTTAGTTGAGTCCAGCTCCTGGGTCACTGCTTCTTGTCACTTCCGGCACAGTACTCGTACCATGTCACATTTTTGGAGAACAGCGAAATGCCGGTGGACCGGAAAATACGTAGCAGAAACGGCGGTGCCGCTTCTACCCCACCCAGTTTTATTGTCGGAAACCTCTCTGGAATGGGCTGTGCGCTGGAGTTTCTGAGCGAGGCTGGGGTATCTGACGCTCCGGCACACCCAGTCAACCGCCATATGGTACCCGGCAACACGATACCACTCGGCGTTCCTTAAAGTCTCCAGAACGGAGAACAAATAGATCACTCGCTGACCGCATAACTCATGGGTTCACGGGACCATACTCTGTGTGACCCCATCGTAATTTGGGGTACGTATACGTCTATAACCCACGTTCCGGAGGCTCCCAAGGACGTCTAGTATACTCTAATAGGATAACCTCTTGTATGGCATGCACAAAGTAAAAGCACTAGTACTTCTACAGAACACACTATGATACGAATAATAACCCGAGGGAAAGAAGCTATGGAACTGCTGCATGAGGTCAACCAGCCAAATAGATCCCTATCTCCTCCTCTTGTGCTCGTACTGTACACGTACGAAAATATCAGCCCGGGTACTTGTACAGTACAGTATCCGTACCCGATACGCCCCAAGCAGTCTATGCTGCGCTAGGCCTTTTCTCCACCGAACCGGTCCGATTCCCCGTCACTTTACGTGAAAAAGTTGCCTGGTTGCGAGTGTGGCAGCTGGACACTACTACACTCGCTGCCCGAGGGCAGTGCTCAAGTGCTCGGGCACGGTGCTGGAAGGCGTAGACTTTGCCAACCCCTATTTACACCATGCAACTGACTGAATGTGAAAATCAAACCCCCAATCATTTGTCTTAGACGCCATACTTGTACAGCCAATAATAATTTCCTGTTTGAGCTATTGCTTGCATGTGAGAAAACTGAGAAACTGCTCAGTAACGGTATCAACAGTGGTGATTGGCTCGACTCGCCCCACCCGGCACTGTGCTCGAACACATTGCCCATTTTTTTCCCTCACTTCGCCTTGGCATCCAAAGGAAGGCAGAAAAAGGTTCATTGCGGGAACTGGCGGACTGGGCCAGCCATAGGGAGCTTGACAGACATACCCTTGATGCCCTGTCTTCGAGCACAGTACCCACTTTTTCCCCTCCCTTCGCCTTAGCATCCAAAGGAAGGCAGCAAAAGGGTTCATTGGGGGAACTGGCCGACTGGGCCAACCATAGGGAGCTTGACAGACATACCCTTGATGCCATGCCTCCTAGCGCAGTACCCATTTTTCCCCTCCCTCCGCCTTGGAGTCCAAAGGTATTTACTAATACTGTAGCTCTGGCACAACGCTGTCACAGGTAGCTATGATACATTTAAACCGGGAAAATTCCCCAACCTCTATGGCACAAGCAACATACAGCCTGAAAACCCCCTCAAACATCACAAACCCACAGCTCACCCCGTACAGATATCGTGCAATATCGTCAGCGAAGGAAAAAAAAAAAAAAAAAAACCAAATGGCCGAGCCACAAGGAAACGAAATCCCGACCGGGGCAATCATCACAATCTCCTTCGCAATAATCGCAGCGGTTGTCGGCCTGCTCCAATTATTCCCAAACTGGAGGTTCTGGGAGTCCAAACAGCCTTCTGTACGTTAATCTGACCCCCCTCTCAGGTTTCCCTTTCCTTAGATATCTCCTGCACGTATACTAATAGCTTCATAGTTACATGATGATCAAGAACTTCGGTAAGAGCTTACCCATTTCAGCTCTTTAAGACTCCCGTACTTTGGGCCGTAGCTGATGCTTGATTATTAGCCCGATCTTTGTCTTCAACTGCGTTGGCCAACTAAACATTCAAAGTCCAGAGTACGAGATCGACCTAGAGCGCGGCCCTAACCCACTCCGGGCGAGGGGGAGAATAGAGAGAAGAGCCACGGAAGGATAGAAAGGGTGCTGTATAAGGGATGGATATAGCGTGATCGGGGTGGGCGCAGGATTGTCCAAAACTTTCATTTATCTAAGATTCATTTCTCACTTATTTCCTTCATAAAAATCCCCGGCACCGTTGATTCCTATTGTACTTCCCACTGCAGGGGAGCAAGCTGGCAATCTCGGCATCCTCCTCATCCAAAGTGCCGAGCACCCTGGCCGATCTACAGGGGAGGGAACCAAAGAAGATGGTCGCCCTAGTGGTCCCGGCCGCTGGAGATGAAGCTCCAAGGGTCGAGGCAGGAACCTCGAGTGAAGAGGAGAAGTCGGCACATGAGATATCAGTGCCTAAGATCGAACAGCCTCCCCGGGAAACAAGACACACGCCGGCGATCAATACCCCCCCGACACCGCCGTTATCCAGGATCATGTCGGCGATGAGCGTCATTTCCAGTGTGAGCGCTATTTCTTCGACATCTGACAAGGAGACGTGGGATAGGACTATCGCTAGAGTGATCAAAGGCATTGTTTCGATTAAAGCGACAACTACCAGACCCTTCGATACGGAATCAGCCGGCGACTACACTAGAACGGGATTCGTGATCTCCAGGAAGCACGGCTTTATCCTCTCAAACTACTATGTGGTGTCACTAGCACTGATCACATCGGTTGCTGTGTTTGTTAATTACGAGGAGGTCCCAATAAAACCCGTTTATCGTGACCCAACCCACGATTTTGGCATCTTCAGATATGATCCATCGAAATTGAAGCATATTAGTGTCGAAGAGATCGAGCTCCGACCGAAGCTCGCTCGTGTGGGCGAGGACATCAAGGTCGTCGGTAATGGTGCTGGTGAGAAGTTGTCGATTCTTGGCTCTACCCTTGCGAGGCTCGATCGCCGTGCCCCAAGTTACGGAACCGACTCCTACAACGATTTTAATACCTTTTACATGCAGGCCGCCTCCGGGACTTCTGGTTGGTCCTCCGGTTCCCCGGTGCCGAATATTAACGGCCAGGCTGTGGCCTTGAATGCTGGAGGGAATAACTCTTCCCAGAGTTTTTTCTATCTTCCGTTGCACAGGGTCGTGCGCGCGGTGGAGAAAATTAAGGGGAAGGAGGCTGTCAGCCGTGGTACCCTGCAAACCGAGTTTTTGCACCATAGCTATGATGAATCTCGAAGGCTCGTTTTAATAGAGTTGATGGAGGAGGGATGCAGGGCTAGGAATCCTTCTGCTACGGGTCCCCTTAGTGTCATCCGGGTTCTCAAGGGTGGTCCCGCGAGCCCAGACAGGAAGCAACTTCCGAACGGGGCCGAACTTGCTGTTCCGGCTGGTGTAACCAGGGTTCCCGGATTGGAACCTGGGGATATCCTTTTTACCTGTAATGGAAAGCACATCACGGACTTTATTGGGCTTTGGAGCATCATTGATGACACTGTCGGAGAGGATATCCTACTCGAAATTTTCCGTGCTGGGGGCGGGGCCGGTGCCGCCGGGGGGCTGCGGGTCGTATGCACTGTTGAGGATTTGTTTGTTGCCCCCGCCCTTGTCTTACCAAACAAATGGCCGTGGAGGACTTTTCTAGTTCTAGTGTACCCTTTCTCACATTAAAAAAACCGACTCATGGTCCCTTGAAGTTTGGCTGAATCCTACATGAGCTAGTGCAAGTCATTCTTGCGGAGCTCAGCCAACGGCTGGGGTACTGTGGGGAGAAAAATGTGTTTGTTTTCTTTTGTTCGAAACTTGAGATTGGTTCTGTAATGATGGTTAGGTCTTTGTTTGATTTGTTAGGGGTTGGTTGTAACTGGCCATGGTGATGTACTGTGGACCAGAGAGGGAGAAAAGGGGACCTCCCTTCCCTGTTAAGCAAGCGAACAGAAAATGAAGAACATCAGACTATTGAAGAACGAACCTATGGATGAGAGACGAAGACAACCTATGATTACAAAGTTTGTACCTACATTTGGGAATTCACCTTTGTATTTGTTCTGTCTTTTTCTTTGCATCAATTTAATTTGTACGGATCTCTTTTCAGAATACCTTTTCATGTGTGAATGCTGAATTTGCCTATTCGATTTGTACATGAGTGCAGCTTACGGTACCTGTTTTATGTGTTTGGTTTTCCGACCTCGATCTGTCCCTTTTCAGTACCTACCCCTGAGCGATACCTCCCCCCACCCTCCTCCAAATATCACATTACTCTCTCATCACGGTACAGTACCTTAGCCCCAGAGTTATTATCCCGCTAGATTGACATGGTGGAGTTGCTGCTGTCAAGCTAAATGTCTACCTTCGTTGGGGTACCGTTCTTCCGTCACTGGGCCTGCACATCTCCTATCCAGATTCAATGCTTGTATCACCTACCACCCTTGGCATCCATAGGCTGTACATTCCTTGAGTGAGAACTTGAGTGAGAAATTTTCAAACCGCGTGCACACTGGATTCACCCACCCATAACTGTCCAGGCCTCCCTCCAGAGCTGTTCTCCCCGAACCATCACAAGTTCACTCGCGATTACGAGATAACAAAAATTTGGTCTCCAACTCTCCACAGCAGGCCATGATTTTCCGTGCAGCCTTCCTATGGCAGGTAAATGGCCTGTATCGAGGCCCTTGCTGGTGCTTGTCTCCTTCGTTTCGGATTCATCTAGTCGGGATCAAAAGGTATAATTCTTATCCTGAAAGTGGATGGTTTCGTCTGCCAGGCACTCTGGTCACGTTTTGTATTCGGATATCACAAAATCAGGATCCCTCTACTATTCTAATCTACTTATAGCTCCCTCATTGACTATCTCTCCAGTAATCAGTTAATCCGTCTTGGGAACGGTCTTTTCTTGAGAATGCCAACCACTTATTAGGTGAAGCCATCAGAACAAAAATTTCATCTATAGGTTTATGTGAAATTGTTCCCTAGATTTTGCTTTCTGACCTCCTAAACCTCTCTATATAAACTAGTTGAGGAATTATGGAGGGTACCAGGAATAGTGAGTATATTGGTCTTAGCGCATTTTCCGAAGATGTTGTATAGGGAATGAACTGGCTTGGATCTTTTTTTATAACGCTTCAACCTCATAATATTGTTTTCCAAAGTAGTCAACAGTTCTTTGATGATCTGTGGGTTCTTGGGCAGATGTTTGAAGGGATTTTGGACTATACTATCAATCCCCCGATTTTTTTACCTCTTTAGAATGTATCGAACGGAATGCCTAAAGTAGCTGGTAGCATGGTTTGAGCTATCACACGCTACAAGTTACTGCTCATCTGTTCCGTCGCCAGCTTTGGAGAACCACAGGGCAAGGACGTCCAAGGCCTCACACCGCATGGCATTCGCGGAGATGTTTCCCCCAACAACCTCAAGCGATCATACCTCGTGGTCTACCCAACTCTCCACGTTAAAGCTATGACACAGCAAGCAAGGAAAACCCCTCCAAGCGCCAGTGTGGAATAATACCGTAACGATAGCAAGCGCCGCCCCCAACCTTACCTACTTTCTTCCACTCATGAAGTTGCTCAAAGCAAAACAAAGTTCTCCCATCCTCCCCCGGCTTCACCTTTTTCCTCCCACCCACCCAGGGACCCCAAAACTTGATCGCTGTTAGACTGACAGTACCTACCCGTATAGTACAAGCACTACTAATGCTCGTACTAAAAGTACTCGTACAGTACTTGGACGCCCAGGGTGGCATTAAAGTTGCCCTACTCTAGCACAATACTGTATAAGCGCTCATTCTGTCAGACATGGAGATGGCCTGAGGGTAGAGGAAGAGATAAAAGAAAGAATCAATACCTCTTCCTCGTCTCTCTGATCGACATCAGAGAACCCCCCACGACAGGACACGGACTCTGACTGCCATACGATCAATGCTTACACCAGGGAAATGCGGCATGGAGGCAAAAAAATCCTTGCTCTCATCGCTGAGGAGGGGGAAAGAAAACGTGATGGAAGAGACCAACCATTTCTTGCTATGAAATAAAGATTCCTCGCGTGGGAATCCGGCGGGACCGGGGGAAGGACGGCACCTACGCTTCCCTCTCCTCAGTCATCAACGAATGGAAACCCTTTATTCTCCCTCCACAAGCGATTAAGACAAAAGCAACGGGAATCAATCCACAGGGGACGAACGGGTCACCAATCAAATGTGAGAGATCCAGGAACTAGACTGACGAACCAACCAACCAACTCACCGGATATAGTCGTGATTTCTGTATAATTATGATATCCCGAACGAGCAGAATACCTGGCATCTGGGGATCCTTGCATTTCACGGGCCTAAACCATTCCGGGATGTGAATCAGTGAATGCCGAGGTACCTGGACACCGCTCGATTATGAGACTGCAAAAGAGGGGAGAAGCTATTCGCTTCACAGTACCAAAAGAAGCGGACAACACAAAAGATATCGGATGAATACATAAAAAAGGAAACGGGAAAAAAATGCAGTAAATGCTTGTAATTAGAGGTGTCTCTTCTTTTCGCAATTTTTTCATGTTTTTAGTTCAATTACCAGTATTGGGGCAGATGCAGCGGTGATTTTACGAGGTAACATAATTTTGGTATTATGGTTTCCGACCGGGGAACCTTTGCTTGAGTCTAGCTCCTAGTCCACTACTCTTTGTCACTTCCGGCACAGTACTCGTACCGTGTGGCATTTTGGGGGCATAGCGACATTCCGGTGGACCAGAAAATAGGCAGCAGAAACGGCGCTGCCGTTTTTATCCCATCCAGTTCGGCTGTCAGAAAGCTCTCTGGGATATTCTGTGCGCTGGAGTTTCTGGGCGACGCGGGAGTATCTGGTGGACCCCCATACGATATAACCCGCTCCCCGGAGACTCCCGAAGAAGCCGAGCAGACGGCGGCAGTCTGGTACGATATGTCGCAAGCAGGTGCGAAGTCTGGTATGTTGCATGTGCGAAGTCTGGTGTGAAAAGGGGGGATCATCGCTTCGCACCGACACCAGTGCATGTATCATAAGTTTACAGTATCAATACTGTACAAGTACCCACCCAACCTTGGCATCCATAGGAAGGCAGCACAGCACAATTTTTTTTCCCGTTCCCTCGGGGTGCGTGGTCCGCCAACAGCTGCCATATTACTATCGCGGGTACTTTTATATAGTTAACTTACATTTAAGCCGGAAAAAGTCCCTAATCTCCATGACACAAGCAACATACAGTTCGCAAAACCGCTTAAGCATTACAAAACCCGCAGTGGACTGTACAAATATCGTGCAATATCTTGTCAACAAGAAAAAAGAAAGAAAACAGGTTTATCAATGGCCGAGCCACAAGGAAACGAAGTCCGGACTGGGGAAATCATCACGATCGCCTTCGCAATCATCACAGCCGTTGCCGGCCTGCTCCAATTATTCCCGGACTGGAGGTTCTGGGAGCCCAAACTGCCCGCTGTACGTTAATCTGATCCGGCGCTAACCTTCTCAGACCCCCCTGTCCTTTCCTTACACATCTCGTGCACATAGACTAATAGCTTCATAGCTACGTACTAAAAATCAAGAACTTCGGTGATAGCTTACCCACTACAGATCTTTAAAACTCTTGCGCTTGGGCTATAGCTAATACTCTATTATTAGTCCGGTTTTTGTCTTCAACTGCGTCGGTCAACTAAACATTCAAAATCTGGAGCATGAGATTGACCTAGAGCAGGGTCCATATCCACTCTGGGGGAGGAGAGATATAGAGAGGCGGGTCATGGAAGGGTAGAAAGGGAGCTGAGTAAGGGACAGATATAGCGGGATCCTAGCATGGTTCAAACCTTTCATTTATCTTAAGACTCATTTCTCACGCATTTCACTCATTTAAAAACCCCTAGTTTCACACCATTTCATGTTTCGGGGCACCGATTAACATGTATCATAGGGAACCTTTTCTGTTTGTTTCTGTTTTTGCCTTTGTTTTATTTAACCAACAACCATGGGAGACTCTTCTGTTCAAGTATACCCTTTCCCATACTGATCAACACTGACTTACGGTCCATTGGATCTTGGCTGAATCCTACACGAACTTGTGCAACCCATCCTTGCTAGACTTAACCGAAGGTCAAGATACCCACTCCGAAACAATGGGAACTACCCCCGAATATTGCAATACCCTCTCATCACGATACCTTGACTCCAGAGTTCTTATTCCGCTAGATTCATCGTACGGTGGAGTTGCTGCTATTAAGCCGAATGTGTACCTTCGTTAAGGTTCGCTTCTTCTCTCGCTAGGCCCATACCATCTCCCATCCAGATCCAACCATTGTATCACTATACTTGGCGTTCATAGGTCGCGCATTCTGTGAGTGAGAAATCTTCAACTAAGAGCGTGCTGGATTAACCTTCCCGTAACTGTTCAAGCCTCTAGAGATGCTCTCCCAGAATTATCACGGGTTCACTCTCGATTTCGAGATAACAATAATTTGGTCTCTTCTCCAGCTCTCCACAACAAACCACGATTTCCCGTGCAGCGTTCCTATGTCAGGTAAATAGCCTACATTGAGGCCCTTCTTGGGGCTTCTCTCCTTCGTGCTGGATTCATCTAGTGGGGATTAGGAGGTGTGGCGCTTAACCAAGAAGAACCTGTTTTCGTCTACCAGGCACTCTATCCATGTTTTGTATTCTGACATCACAAATACGGCGCCCCTTGCTCCTCCGATTTACTTATAGCTCCTGGCTCCTTCATTGACTCTAATGATTTGTGGGTTATGTCATGTTGGCGGGATATTTGAAAGGCTTCTGGACCGTACGATTGGTTTTCGAAACTTTTACCCCCCCAGAACGTATCGAACGGAAAGCGTGAAGTAGCATTGTTTGGCTTGGTAAAGATACATGCCATTCTGCACCTCTTTGTTTTTCCCGCCCGCTTCTCGCACACCCCTGTCAAAGAGCCAAAAGCAAAATACAAACTTCAGCCATAGATTCCCAAATCATTTGTAAATGAGATGAGACAAAAGTCAGTAGAGGTCCGCAAAGAGGGTCTCTACAAAATCACTATAAGTACTATTTTTAAAGCCTTTTCTAGAATGCTAATAATTCACTATCCCTTAACCTCCCATAAACATTGGGTGGGCCGCATTAGAGCTACCCCTAGTCGATCTCTCACTACTGTTTTTTTGCTAAGCTTGGCACAGGCTCACCACGCTTCGGAGTACTTTGTAAACATCTGTAAGGGTTTTTAAGCCCCTCTGACGAACGGGGTCTGGTAAGTTTTCCTACACATTACCCACGTAATGTATCGTATCGGATGCAAAGTAAACGTACCGTTCGAACACTAAAGTGCGCTGAGTGATGCTTTGCGAAGTCACTATTCCTTCGTATAATAGAGTAATTTCTCCTTCGAGAGGGTTTCGGCTTTGGCTTTGCCGAAAGCATCGCGTTCTCAACAGTAGATGCGGGGCAGTATCAAGGGTGAAAGTAGTCATTTCTTCCTGACTGCCTCTGTGCGACTTTCTCCAAAGGATCATCGATAATATTGGGCTCCAGGTGTTTCAAGGCGTTTTGATCATCCCGGGGTCAAGGCAAATGGAGGTGGGACCGGATGCCCTACGGGGCCCTGTGGAGATTTTCTGTTACATCTCTTTTGCTGGTATGCTTAGAAACTTCAAATTCATGATTTCATCTCACATTGTTTATGATCATCATTAGTACCTCAAGATTCGGGGTAAGTATCCCGCTCTGTGCGCTGGAGAGGGAACTTGCACTATCGCTGTCAGAGTGTTATTCTAGTGGTTGCAGATATCCGGATTCTAGAGGGTCAATTGAGTTTCCTGGTAATCCCTCTGGAAAACCTAAGGCATTGTTCTGTGTGTCAAGTTCCGTTCTATCTGTTCTTTGGCTTTGTTGAGATATCACCACTGACAATAATTAAAGATAAAGTCTTATGAGATCATTTGAAAGCGAAAATAAGGCTCACAGTAGTGGAATGATTGCTTCAGCCTTATCTTAATATTCTGGGCACCCGATGATCTATTTAACCTTCTTTTATTGCGGACATATCGTTTACTGTGTCGGGTGCAAAGCATCACCATATACCACTCATAGTTTGCACGAGGAGGCTTTTCTTGCCACAGCTCAATTTGACGTGGAAGAACCACAAAGTTTCCAAGAGGCCG